TACATGCAATGTGACATAGCTATGGCTTTAGAAGAGTTGAACTTTGAATTTAAGAGAATGTCTAAAGAATACTATTCTTTTAAAAAATTGCATGCTTCTTGTGATATTAAGCTAGAACAATTAACAACTTCTCTTGTACTAAAAGATAAATTGCTAGGAGATCTCGATTTCGAGAATAAGCAATTAATATCAAAGATTGAAAGACTAGAAATTGAGAGAAGTAGGACTAGACCCACTCATGCTTATGCTAATTATCATCATCATGGTAGAAATAGGTTTTATGGCTCTCACACTCATGCATACAAAAGAAATTTTGTGTGCACATATTGTATGAGACATGAACATATTTCTACTCATTGTAGGATTAAAGACAACCATGATTTTTATGGAATGATATGGGTACCCAAAGGTACCAAAACTACTAACCACTAAGGACCCAAGACTTGGGTACCTAAAGCTACTATATCTTCATCTTTATCTTTTGTAGGGAACATCACGGCAACACCGTAAGGAGATGTGGTACCTTGATAGTGGTTGCTCACATCATATGATGAGCAACAAAGAGTTATTTGCAACCCTATCAAGGATTGAAGGAGGTAGTGTCTCCTTCGGTGGTGGTGAAAAAGGTAAAATCATTGGTATTGGTTCTATTGGTAAGAAACCCTCACCCGTTATAGAAGATATTTATTTGGTAAATGGTTTGAATCATAATCTTCTTAGTATTAGCCAATTGAGTGATAAAGGTTTTAATATTTCTTTTAAACCGGATAAATGCATCATTAGTATGAATGAGAAAATTGTTTTTATTGCTAATCGCAAATCTAATGTATACATTTTTGAGATGAATAAATTAGTGAATCAAGATGTGAAGTGTCTTGCGGCAATTGATGAAAATCATTGGATTTGGCACAAGAGACTTGGACATGCAAATATGGAGTTAATATCAAAATTGTCTAAGAGAAATCTTGTAAAAGGATTACCTAGCTTGCACTTCATCAAAGATACCATATGTGAGGATTGTGCCAAAGGTAAACAAACAAAATCTTCTTTCAAATCCATCAATGAGGTATCAACTTCTAAACCTTTGCAATTACTTCATCTTGATTTGTTTGGTCTTATGCGTGTTACCTCTCTTGGAGACAAACACTTTGTATTTGTGATTATCGATGATTTTTCTCGTTTTACATGGACAATATTTCTTGCAAAGAAAAATGATTGCTTTGAAGAATTTGCTAATCATGTCAAAAGAATTGAAAATAAAAAAGATTTGAAAGTTGTTAAAATAAGAAGTGATCATGGTGGTGAATTTCAAAATGAATTTTTCTATGATTTTTGTGCTCATCATGGTATAACTCATATGTTTTCCGCTCCTAGAACACCACAACAAAATAGTCATGATAAATTTGATTCCAAAATTGATGTTGGTATTTTCTTGGGTTATGCACCTCGAAGTAAGGCTTATAGGGTCTTCAATAAACGAAGTCTCGTTGTTGAAGAATCTATAAACGTTACTTTTGATGAGACTAATGTTGGTTCTCAAGTTGTTTTACCTAGGAAAGATGATGATGATGATGTTGAGGGAGGATTGGACTTCTTACAAATCAATGATACTCCCTCTATAGAAGCTCAAAAGGATGTGGATAGTTCCAATGATCATGAACAAGTTGAACTTCCTAAAACTTGGAAATTCGCATCCAATCATCCAAAGGAACAAATTATTGGGATCCCTTCAAAAGGAGTTGTTACTCGCTCAAAAGCTTTGAGTGAGTGTGGTAATGTTGTATTCTTATCTCATCTAGAACCTAAAAAGATTAATGATGCTTTAAATGATGAATTTTGGGTTTTGGCTATGCAAGAAGAACTAAATAATTTTCAAAGAAATGATGTTTGGAAATTAGTTCCTAGACCTAACAATGCTAGTGTTATTGGTACTAAATGGGTTTTTAGAAACAAACTTGATGAACATGGTATTGTTACTAGAAATAAAGCTCGTTTGGTTGCCCAAGGATACAATCAAGAGGAGGGCATAGACTATGATGAAACCTTTGCACCGGTTGCAAGGTTGGAATCTATTAGGATGTTTTTAGCTTTTGCTAGCTTTAAAATTTTCAAACTATTTTAAATGGATGTTAAAAGTGCCTTCTTAAATGGTTTTATAGAAGAGGAAGTGTATGTTGAGCAACCCCCCGGTTTTATAGATCATGCTTTCCCTAATCATGTTTACCGGGTACAAAAAGCTTTATATGGGTTGAAACCAGCTCCTAGAGCTTGGTATGCTCGCCTCTCTAGTTTTCTTGTTGAAAATGGTTTTTCAAAAGGAACAATCGATAACACTCTTTTTGTGAGAAAAAGGAAAAATGATTTCATTTTAGTTCAAATATATGTGGATGACATCATTTTCGGTGCTACTAATGAATCCTTGTACAAGGAATTTTCTAAAGTTATGCAGGATCACTTTGAGATGAGTATGATGGGAGAGCTTACATTCTTTCTCGGGCTCCAAGTCAAGCAAACTAAGGATGGGATCTTCATTTCACAAAGCAAGTATGCGAAGGAATTGGTGAAGAAATTCAATTTGGAGAATTCTAAGCATGCACCTACTCCCATGAGTACTAGTATTAAGCTTGATACGGATGAGAGTGGTGAAGATGTGGACCAAAAACTATACCGAGGTATGATAGGTAGTCTTCTTTATCTCACCGCTAGTAGACCCGATATTATGTTTAGTGTTTGTGCTTGTGCACGTTTTCAAGCATCTCATTTAATTACGGTTAAAAGGATCATTAAATATGTTAATGGAACTTTTAATCTTGATTTATTTTATCCAAGAAGCACCTCTTTTGATTTATATGGTTTTTGTAATGCCGACTTTGCCGGATGTAAGGTAGATCGCAAGAGTACTAGTGGAACATGCCAATTCTTAGGAAATTCCCTTGTTTCTTGGGCTTCCAAGAAACAAAATTGTGTTGCATTGTCCACTACGGAAGCGGAATACATTGCCGCCGGCTTATGTTGTGCTCAAGTTTTATGGATGAAACAAAGTTTAGTTGACTATGATTTGAATTTTCAAAATATTAAAATCTTTTGTGATAACACAAGTGCTATAAATATTTCCACAAATTCGGTTTTGCATTCTAGAACCAAGCATATTAATGTGTGCCATCATTTCTTATGCGATCATGTAGAGAGACAAGATGTATCCCTAGTCTTTGTTGACACAAACCATCATTTCTTATGCGATCATGTAGAGAGACAAGATGTATCCCTAGTCTTTGTTGACACAAAATCTCAATTAGCGGATATATTTACTAAGCCTCTTGGAGAGGATGATTTTTGTCGCATAAGAAATGGCTTGGGGTTATGCAATATGTGATAGTTCTAAATTGCTTGCTTCTTTTGGTTGCATTTTTTTTGTGGCATGCATGTTTATTTACCACATTTTTGATGGTGACAAAGTGGGAGAGAAATCTCCTCATTTGTTGTATTTTCTTAGGGGGAGCTCATAGATAGGGGAGCACCTATCTATAAGCCATTTTATTTTTGCTCTTAAATAATGGTTGGTTGTCATCATCAAAAAGGGGGAGATTGTTAGCCCTTATATTTTAATGATATTTTACAATCACCATTATCGGTACTAATGGCTTATTGAGTGCAAATGTAATAAATTCTTTTATCAAGCTTGTTAGTGCCATTCATGGAGGATTGGATGGAATATATGCTACAACGATGATATCCAAAGGAGGAGGAGGCATAATGATGAAGCAATGTTATTTCAAGAACAACAAATTCATATAAAAGCTTCATCCAAACTCAAGCCATATCAAGACTCAAGAATTGTATTCTATGTGAGGATATTAGCTAGTTTTTATTCTCTCTCTAGTATTAGAATGTAGGCAAAGAGTTATTGAATTCACTTGAAGCTATTGGGACTCACACACACGTTTTCATACTTAAGCTTTTAAGCGTTTTTCACAAAATACTATTTTTCACAAGTATGAGGACCTATCTGCAAAATTCTTTTTCCAAACAGTTTGTTTTTAGTATTAAAAACATTTTCCAAAGTTTCATAATTTTCAGAGGTCAAATAAATATTTTCCAAATATTTCTGTTGAGTCAAAATCCTGTTTCCAGAATATGTCAGAATGCGGTCGACCGCACCGATTGACCGCACTTATGATCTTTCGTCACTGGAGTCCAGAGAGTTTGTCGGTCGACCGGTGCGGTCGACCAAAATTTTGATTTTTCTATCGGTCGACCGCACCAGTCGACCGATGAAGTCTCTGTTTGTTTTTTGTGTTTTCAAAGCTGCTCGCGGTCGACCGGATTTTCGGTCGGTCGACCGATTTCACTCATTCGGTCGACCGAACGTTCTGGCGGTCGACCGAAAGTTTAATCGGTCAACCGAGACTTTTTTCAAACGGTCGTTTGCCTTGTTTACTGTGCTATCACTTAACTGTGTTTGGCACAGTCTGAGGCACAGTCTGTGTAGGAGATTATTTTCTTAATTGGGAAGATTGGATTGTGATTTTAAAATGATTAATCTTTTCTATTTAAACCCAGACTTCTTCTTCTTCCCAGTTGCCCTAACTTCTGCTGAAAAACCAGAGAGACGTTGTCTTCTGAGAAAAATTTTCAAACTCTGTTCTCTGTGGTTTTTCTCTGTGTTTTTGTGTGTGTTCACTTCCCAGCTTCAGTATTCTTTCTCTTTGCCATATGGACCTATAAAGAGAGAGTCTTGCATCATTTCTACTGTTGTGTGAGTGTGATCTTGTGTAGATCAACTGTGAGGGAGTGTGATCTGTTGAGATCAACTGTGTAGTGAGAGATCGTGAGGGGATCGCTGTGTAGACGAAGTTCCGGCTTTCAAACCGGGTGTGTAGTGGATTTCTCCTCGAGAGTGGGGAGCGGGGACGTAGGTCAGCGGACCGAACCTCGTTAACACATCGCGCGTCAAAGGATAACAATTCCTAACCCTATCTCTTTTACTTTCTTTCATTGAAATGCTGAATATGAGCCCACAGAACTGGGCTAATTGTTATTTTCCTGGAAAGAGGTCACCATTTTTACATATTTTTGGTCTTTGTGATTGAACTCTCTGATATGTGTGTTTGAACATGTATAACATTTGAATAATCCTATAGCTATAACATGGTTGCAGGTATGGGTGGTTAACCTCAAATCTAGCTGAGTCCTTCAACGCATGGATTAAGGAAGCCCGATTTTTACCGATAGCGCAGTTGGTTGATCACATCCGGGTGAAGATGATGAAAATGAGCTACGATAGACGTGAGGAATCCAACAAATGGACTACACCACTTGTTCCTAGTGTAGAGGAGCATCTTGTCCTGATCAACGAGGGTGCACGTTGTCTTCATGTTAATCCTTCTACGTCGATTCTGTATGAAGTATATGATTCCCCATCTGTTAGAGTGAATTTGGAGTACCGCACGTGTACTTGTCGCCAATGGCAAGTTCTTGGACTACCTTGCAAGCATGCGGCCGCCGTAATCAGGCACAAAGATCAGCTATTGTATCCATATATTTCTGACTATTTCAGCACGGAGGTGTACCGCAAGTGTTACTCCTTTCCCATATATCCAATTCCTGATGATGAGAAGCCAATTATAACGGATGAGAATATGGAGATTAGACCTCCATTAACCTCGATTCGTAGAGGAAGGCCAAAAACAAAGCGGATCCCTTCTGGACTAAATCCTTCTAGAATGTTGAAGTGTAGCCGATGTAAGGAGTTCGGTCACAATCGACGAACATGTAACCAACCAATAGCTGATTGAAATATCATGCTTTTGAATATTTTCAAATCAATTTGATTGTGATCTTCATGGACTTATTATAAGATGATTATGTTTTGGTGGTGAAGATCAAAAAACAAACTATTTTGATTATTGTAAATTTTGTGTAACTACTTCAGTAAGTTTTAATGTTATTTCAGTTAGTGTTATTGTTATATCTGGTTGGTATACATTACTCAAAACCTTTGATGTTATCTTATCAAGTATTTGCATTGCGGTGGATGATTGGTCAATAAACACGTGACGTAGGTCGTCGAGTGGTTTCGTCGCGGCGAAAAAAAAATTGATTTGATTTTAGGTACTTAAGCTGCAGAATTTCCAGAAAGTATAAGGTGCTATACTTTGCCAATAAGGTGCTATACTTTGTCAATAAAGTGCTATACTTTGTAATATAGTGCTATACTTTGGCCAAAAGGTGCTTTACTTTCCCATAAGGTGCTATACTTTGCCCAGAAGCTTCAAAATTGCGCGAGGACCCCCCGTCACGGTGGATGATTGGTCAATAAGATGAGAATATGGAGATTAGACCTCCATTAACCTCGATTCGTAGAGGAAGGCCAAAAACAAAGCGGATCCCTTCTGGACTAAATCCTTCTAGAATGTTGAAGTGTAGCCGATGTAAGGAGTTCGGTCACAATCGACGAACATGTAACCAACCAATAGCTGATTGAAATATCATGCTTTTGAATATTTTCAAATCAGTTTGATTGTGATCTTCATGGACTTATTATAGGATGATTATGTTTTGGTGGTGAAGATCAAAAAACAAACTATTTTGATTATTGTAAATTTTGTGTAACTACTTCAGTTAGTTTTAATGTTATTTCAGTTAGTGTTATTGTTATATCTGGTTGGTATACATTACTCAAAACCTTTGATGTTATCTTATCAAGTATTTGCATTGCGGTGGATGATTGGTCAATAAACACGTGACGTAGGTCGTCGAGTGGTTTCGTCGCGGCGAAAAAAAAATTGATTTGATTTTAGGTACTTAAGCTGCAGAATTTCCAGAAAGTATAAGGTGCTATACTTTGCCAATAAGGTGCTATACTTTGTCAATAAAGTGCTATACTTTGTAATATAGTGCTATACTTTGGCCAAAAGGTGCTTTACTTTCCCATAAGGTGCTATACTTTGCCCAGAAGCTTCAAAATTGCGTGAGGACCCCCTGTCACGGTGGATGATTGGTCAATAACACGTGACGTAGGTGGTCGAGTGGTTTCGTCGCGGCGAAAAAAACTAATTTGATTTTAGGCACTTAAGCTGCAGAATTTTCAGAAAGTATAAGGTGCTATACTTTTCCAATAAGCTGCTATACTTTTCCAATAAAGTGCTATACTTTGCAATATAGTGCTATACTTTGGCCAAAATGTGCTATACTTTCCAATAAGGAGCTATACTTTGCCCAGAAGCTTCAAAATTGCGCGAGGACCCCCCGTCGCGATGGATGATTGGTCAATAACACGTGACGTAGGTCGTCGAGTGGTTTCGTCGCGGCGAAAAAAACTGATTTGATTTTAGGCTCTTAAGCTGCAGAATTTTCAAAAAGCATAAGGTGCTATACTTTTCCAATAAGGTGCTATACTTTGTCAATAAAATGTTATACTTTGTAATATAGTGCTATACTTTGGCCAAAAGGTGCTATACTTTCCCATAAGGTGCTATACTTTGCCCAAAAGCTTCAAAATTGCGAGGACCCCCCGTCGCGGTGGATGATTGGTCAATAACACATGACGTAGGTTCGTCGAGTGTTTGCATTGCCCTAAAAAAACTGGGTGCTATACTTTGCCCAAAAGCTTCAAAATTGCGCGAGGACCCCCGTCGCGGTGGATGATTGGTCAATAACACGTGACGTAGGTGGTCGAGTGGTTTCGTCACGGCGAAAAAAACTGATTTGATTTTAGGCACTTAAGCTGCAGAATTTTCAGAAAGTATAAGGTGCTATACTTTTCCAATCAGGTGCTATACTTTATCAATAAAGTGCTATACTTTATAATATAGTGCTATACTTTTGCCAAAAGGTGCTATACTTTCCCATAAGGTGCTATACTTTGCCCAGAAGCTTCAAAATTGCGAGGACCCCCCGTCGCGGTGGATGATTGGTCAATAACACATGACGTAGGTGGTCGAGTGGTTTCGTCGCGGCGAAAAAAACTGATTTGATTTTAGGCACTTAAGCTGCATGACGTAGGTGGTCGAGTGGTTTCGTCGCGGCGAAAAAAACTGATTTGATTTTAGGCACTTAAGCTGCACAATTTCCAGAAAGCATAAGGTGCTATACTTTTCCAATAAGGGGCTATACTTTTCTAATAAAGTGCTATACTTTGCAATATAGTGCTATACTTTGGCCAAAAGATGCTATACTTTCCCATAATGTGCTATACTTTTCCTAGAAGCTTCAAAATTGCGCGAGGAACCCCCGTCGCGGTGGATGATTGGTCAATAACACGTGACGTAGGTGGTCGAGTGGTTTCGTCGCGGCGAAAGAAACTGATTTGATTTTAGGCACTTAAGCTGCAGAATTTTCAGAAAGTATAAGGTGCTATACTTTCCAATAAGGTGCTATACTTTTCCAATAAAGTGCTATACTTTGCAATATAGTGCTATACTTTGGCCAAAAGGTGCTATACTTTCCAATAAGGTGCTATACTTTGCCCAGAAGCTTCAAAATTGCACGAGGACCCCCCGTCGCGGTGGATGATTGGTCAATAACACGTGACGTAGGTCGTCGAGTGGTTTCGTCGCGGCGAAAAAAACTGATTTGATTTTAGGCTATTAAGCTGCAGAATTTCCAGAAAGCATAAGGTGCTATACTTTTCCAATAAGGTGCTATACTTTGTCTATAAAGTGCTATACTTTGCAATATAGTGCTATACTTTGGCCAAAAGGTGCTATACTTTCCCATAAGGTGCTATACTTTGCCCAGAAGCTTCAAAATTACACGAGGACCCCCCGTCGCGGTGGATGATTGGTCAATAACATGTGACGTAGGTGGTCGAGTGGTTTCGTCGTGGCGAAAAAAACAAATTTGACTTTAGGCACTTAAGCTGCAGAATTTCCAGAAAGTATAAGGTGCTATACTTTTCTAATAAGGTGCTATACTTTGTCAATAAAGTGCTATACTTTGCAATATAGTGCTATACTTTTGCCAAAAGGTGCTATACTTTCCCATAAGGTGCTATACTTTGCCCAGAAGCTTCAAAATTGCGCGAGGACCCCCCGTCACGGTGGATGATTGGTCAATAACACGTGACATAGGTGGTCGAGTGGTTTTGTCACGGCGAAAAAAACTGATATGATTTTAGGCACTTAAGCTGCAGAATTTCCAGAAAGAATAAGGTGATATACTTTGCCAATAAGGTGCTATACCTTTCCAATAAAGTGCTATACTTTATAATATAGTGCTATATTTTGGCCAAAAGGTGTTATACTTTACCATAAGGTGCTATACTTTGCCCAGAAGCTTCAAAATTGCGCGAGGACCCCCCGTCGCGGTGGATGATTGGTCAATAACACGTGACGTAGGTGGTCAAGTGGTTTCGTCGCGGCGAAAAAAACTGATTTGATTTTAGGCACTTAAGCTGCAGAATTTCCAGAAATTATAAGGTGCTATACTTTTCAAATAAGGTGCTATACTTAGTCAATAAAGTGCTATACTTTATAATATAGTGCTATACTTTTGCCAAAAGGTGCTATACTTTCCCATAAGGTGCTATACTTTGCCCAGAAGCTTCAAAATTGCGCGAGGACCCCCCGTCGCGGTGGATGATTGGTCAATAACACGTGATGTAGGTGGTCGAGTGGTTTCGTCGCGGCGAAAAAAACTGATTTGATTTTAGGCACTTAAGCTGCAGAATTTCCAGAAAGCATAAGGTGCTATACTTTTCCAATAAGGTGCTATACTTTTCCAATAAAGTGCTATACTTTCCAATATAGTGCTATACTTTGGCCAAAAGGTGCTATACTTTCCCATAAGGTGCTATACTTTGCCCAGAAGCTTCAAAATTGCGCGAGGACCCCCCGTCACGGTGGATGATTGGTCAATAACACGTGACATAGGTGGTCGAGTGGTTTTGTCGCGGCGAAAAAAACTGATTTGATTTTAGACACTTAAGGTGCAGAATTTCCAGAAAGCATAAGGTGCTATACTTTACCAATAAGGTGCTATACTTTGCCAATAAAGTGCTATACTTTACAATATAGTGCTATACTTTGGCCAAAAGGTGCTATACTTTCCCATAAGGTGCTATACTTTGCCCAGAAGCTTCAACTTCAAAATTGCGCGAGGACCCCCTGTCGCGGTGGATGATTGGTCAATAAAACGTGACGTAGGTGGTCAAGTGGTTTCGTCGCGGCGAAAAAAACTGATTTGATTTTAGGCACTTAAGCTGCAGAATTTCCAGAAATTATAAGGTGCTATACTTTTCAAATAAGGTGCTATACTTTGTCAATAAAGTGCTATACTTTGCAATATAGTGCTATACTTTGGCCAAAAGATGCTATACTTTCCCATAATGTGCTATACTTTTCCCAGAAGCTTCAAAATTGCGCGAGGAACCCCCGTCGCGGTGGATGATTGGTTAATAACACGTGACGTAGGTGGTCGAGTGGTTTCGTCGCGGCGAAAGAAACTGATTTGATTTTAGGCACTTAAGCTGCAGAATTTTCAGAAAGTATAAGGTGCTATACTTTCCAATAAGGTGCTATACTTTTCCAATAAAGTGCTATACTTTGCAATATAGTGCTATACTTTGGCCAAAAGGTGCTATACTTTCCAATATGGTGCTATACTTTGCCCAGAAGCTTCAAAGTTGCACAAGGACCCCCCGTCGCGGTGGATGATTGGTCAATAACACGTGACGTAGGTCGTCGAGTGGTTTCGTCATGGCGAAAAAAACTGATTTGATTTTAGGCTATTAAGCTGCAGAATTTCCACAAAGCATAAGGTGCTATACTTTTCCAATAAGGTGCTATACTTTGTC